CCAAGAGAGGCTACCAGAAGAAGCGGAGACTGTAGCCAGTCTGGGGCCATGAGTCCGAGGCAGTTTTGATCAGGCGACGGGTTTTCGAAAGGAAAAAGTGTGCCATTGCAGAGAATGCTTGCAAGCTTGGTTCTGTTGAGTTTTTCCATGCTTGCATCGTCCCATTTCTTTTCGCCACAGCATGCTTTGCTGCCTCTCAGCCCTTCTGGCCTTCCACACAAGCTTCCAGAAGCAGACTTTGCAGGAGAGATTCGGATGCATGCATGGAGTGTCCAGCAAGTGCAGTTTAAAGCATGGCCTTAACTCCATCCCAGCTGTGCAGTCGAGGCAGCAGTCCAGGACAGGACCCAGTGCTGCCAGCAAGTCGAAGCCATGGCCGTCCCTCCAGCTGTGATCCAAGAGGTCGAGACCATTGTGAATGGTGCGGAACCAGTGAACACCAGAGTGAGCAAAGTGTTGAGGGTCCTGGAAGGCCATGGCCTCTGCCAAACCCAGACTCTGAGGCCATCCCAGGTCCTGTGCCATCCGTCGAATCGCGGGGGCCAAATGGTCTCACACTTCGATGTGTGGCAGAAGGGCCACCAGCTTCTGGGCGTCGGTCTCCAGGTCCAGTTGCTCGAGCACAGCATCTGCATCCAACTGGCCACAGATCCCCAGAAGCGCCAACAGCAAATCTGGAAGAACCAGCAGCTTGTCCAGGAAGCAGGAGGCTCCCTGGCGCCAGTCACTGGCCAGGAGGGCCACTCGGAGATATGAAGTGTTTTCTGGTCTGTTTGGGTTTCACTTCTATATAATATAGTTCATATATAGCTGGATTTTGTTTCTCCCTGCTTGGCATGTCAAGTCGTGCAATTGAGGCTTTCTGAGCCTAGCCTCCAGCCACACCACCGCCTTTCTGAGATGCCTGGAGCATGGTTGCCAAGATGCCAATGGCAAAGCCATTTCCGTGCCCAAAACCGATCCAGTTTGGGAAGCCATCGAGCACGGATGGATGTGGCACGTGGTAGCTTCCTCGGTGGAGGAAGCCATGCCCAGGCTGCCGCAGTTTTTCCAAGTCGGTGCCAACAGTGGCAATGCCATAGGCAGGGCCACCAGCGAGCTGGAGGCAGCCTGCCAGATCGCAGCCCAACTCCAGCTGGGGTCCACTTTGGAGGCCGCCATCAACCAGGTAGCAAGCGGGGAGGTGGCCTGCAGGGCCAGTTTGGCCAGTATAGGCCACTACGTGTCCAGATACTCTGGAGGCCCAGGTGCACCACTGCTGAAATTTCTGTCCCAATTCGGCCAGACTTTCGGCTGCACCCTCATGCTGGGCCAAGAGTTCACAGAAACACTGGCCCACATGAGTTTCCAAGAGGCAACCAACCTCTTTCCATTCACCCGCACGGCCATTTGGGCGACCCAACTCACTGCCAGCAAGAGCTCCGATGGGTTTTCCAAGATGGTGACCAAGTCCGACTTGCAGACCTTGTGCAGCCCAAAGGCCCTGGACCAGGCCAAAGCAGCAGAGTCGCTGCTGGCGGACTGCTGGCAGGTGGTCCAGTCCCAGCTGCCACCGACCACTGCGGAGAATCACAAGAAAACGGTCCATCTCTACCGCTGCTTTGGCAAGCTTTGCTTCAGAACCACGTTGTTCCAGCTCAAGAAGCAAAAACTGGCGCCTGACGGGCTCACGTTCCAGACCCTGCCAGAGATTCTCGACCGCTTCACCAAGGAGCTCCAGGGCCTCACCACAACGCCTGCCACCGGCAGTCGGGCAGCCACCATCGAGGATGCGGTGAAGGCCGAGCCGTTCCAGGCCATGCTGCTCCAGAACACCCACATCAAGGTGGGCGGGATGAACCAGGGTTGCAACTTGAGCAAGTGTTCCTCTTGTATTTCCCCGTTTGGTGTTTGTAATATATGTGTGCCCGTTCTGTGCCAAGGTACTGCCTTCCGAAGGAGCATGGGGCCAAGGTCTTCGAGCTGCTGCAGGTGACCAACGATGGTGCAACCATGCAACACAGGCCCATCCTCCTGCCAGCAGAGAACATCCAGGTGGCACTCCATGAGCTGAAGAAATGGAGGGTGTCGAAGCAAGGCATGCCTGCTTTGCTTGCAGAGGCCATGCTTGCCAAGGCCTTCCCCACGGAGCATGCACTGGCTTTGGAAGAGTACCAGAAAGCCCAAGTGGTCGTTGCTTTGAGAGAATGCTACGAAAAGCATTCCTGCCAAGACCAAGAGGTCTTGGCCTTCGCCACCAACCCCCAGGCGCTGTTTGCCAGGACAACCATCCCAGCCAAGAAGTTGCGGCTTGTGCCACTGGGGCCAGTGTCGAAGGTCAAGGCAGACCAGGCCAAGACGTCCAAAGTGACGATCCAAGC